CTGGCCTTTTCTTTGTAAAATTAAGTCTCATTCTCATAGAGAATTGGAATAAATCAGTTAATATGTCCCTTAAATATTCTCTGTGTTTTCCAGTATTTAGTGCCTCCAGGTTTTTTTTGCAGATAATGAAAACAGCTCTCTAAATTTGTTCTCAAAAGCAAATAGATGATAATTTTTTAAGTGGAAATTCTAGAAAGAAAATAAATTGAGGCACTAAAGAATAGGGTAAATGGCAACCTTCAACAATAAAGGTTAGATTTAATCCAAGCAGGCATCTGACAAGCTGCTGTACACGTTGAATCCATATCAGTGTGACCCTACCACAGACCTCCTTTATCCATTAATCTACACTTCTTTTAGCAGAGAGTTGAATTAGCTCACTGACAGGGCATTGCCTGCTGATTAGCGTACATCATTCTATAGAGCAGAAATAAAAGAATCACCCTCCTTCATTTAACTCTTCTGTCCTACAAAATGGTGCTAATTTTCCATCTTTCCAAAAGCAACAAGTTCATATTTAGGTTACACTAAAGCTCTGGCTTCATTATTGACATTTTTCAAACAATTTCATCCAGACTATGTACAGGAAAAAGAGAGCCTCACATTTGTGTGCGTGTGTGTGTGCGTGTGTGCATGTGTGTGTGTAAATCTGGCAAAGTATAAGTTGGACAATACATTTAACAGTCCTATTTGAATGAATTAAAGAAAATTAAATCTGCTTTTACTAAGAAATTGCTATCATTTTTCCCCCCAAAAAAAATCAAAGCAAAAAATATTTACTGTAGTATAGTGACTGGCAGTGGGTTTAAATCTTTATTATTTAAAGGAAAGGTAGGTAAAAGGTTGTTTTGAAACATGTTTCTAAAATATCACTGATAAACATAATTCATTTTGTTTGGCTTTCATTGAAAATGTTTGTATCATCAGAACTATGCTGGAGTAACGGTCATTGCTGTATATTTTTTAAGAAAATGAAACAGCACTTAGCCTCCAAAATACTTTAAAAACTCAAAGTAAACGTAAAAATTATTTGATTTGGATCAGTTTGGTAGTAAAGATACAAAACACTTTAGATCAAATAATTTCTATGTATGTATTTTAAATATTATTTTGAGAAATCATGCGTTTTGGACAAAGTAAATTCAATTACTATCATTAAATGCATTTAAATGTTAAACCTATTATGGATTATACTGTATCATGTCACTTTCACTGCTAATCACACAATTTCCTATAATTTTTATGCACTTAGCAGAGAAATTACCTCTAAAGTCACTAGTTAAGTAATAAATTTTATGCATCATTCTTTTGTTAATAAAGTATTTCAAGCTGTGACTTCTTAATTGGATTAAATGCCCCCATTTTTGCATTTCTAGCAATCAATATTTATTTAGAAACTGAATTTGGAGTTTGGCAGATGTGAGAGGAGGTAAAGAGAATTGCTCAGACATCTCTGAAAGACAGTGAATTTAGACAGGTTAAATGATTGTGGACTATGTTATCCCACCTGATAACGTTAAGTCTTTGGTTTGCACACTATTATTTTCACAAACCCTAGTTTGTCAAGAAAACAGTATTTCTAAGCCGAGAGTATAGTTTCAGTGAACACTGCTTTGCCAGTTATACAGTGTCACTGGGAAGTATTGCCTTCTATAGGTAGTATTTCCAGCAATGACGTACAGTTGTGGCCCGTTTCCTCTGTGCCAAAGCATGCAAAATATTCAAGAATGGCCTATTCAGAAGAAGGAGCAGGTAAATTCTTTTTAAATCTTACCATCTATATTAACGGACCCTTTACAACTCCATATATGCTTCAGTTTGATGTTTTGGACCAAGTGAGACGACGGCAAAATCGGAAAGGAAAAATAGCACTGAAGTGCATCTTGCTCCTTAAATCTCGTGCTAGAAACAGGAGCAAAATTAACGCGCTGGAGCCATCTTCTGACTGCACGGAACTGCGGCACCTCACAATGGACGCTGCTTAATAAGTTAGGTGGCCAGGATCTTGCTACAGACACGTCAGGTTTTTATATCCTATTTCTTTTCCCTAATGATCTGCCTTAATATGTACTACACTTTGATTCTCTTCTGTCTGCTTTCCCTCTTTTAGAAAAGAAACAATGCAATTATTTGGATTTGGGTTTCATTTGTGACAGTCTTTAAAAGAAAGAGCTTTCTGTGTCTACACAGGTTTAAAAAAAAAAAAAAAAATCCAGTGAGAGGAGGCAATTACCCAGAATTTCAGGCCCCAAATTTTTCAAAGAGAATGAAATCCAAATCTGCTATTGGGAGGGCAGGGAGTCCATCCGAGGGACCCAGATTGAAATATTTCTGACTGATTGCTTTATCAAAGAAAAATATTATTAAGGAAACAAGTTTATTTCAGGCTATTCTTTCTACTGCACAGAATGTCAATTTCAGATGTATTTAAGAGTCACTGAAATGTGTGCACAGGAAAAAGCACAAAGAAGTACGTGGGTAAAACCCTGCACTGTTCACC